TAATAAAATCGAAGTCAAGTTATGACTCTCGCACCTCGCATAGGGAAGATTGTGACTTTGATAATATTTTTGCTTACAATCTGCGATAATGCAGATCTTTTATTACAGCGAATTTATGATTTTAATTTAGATATGCAAATCAAATTATTTTTTGATTTGGTCGTATTGCTTAAATGAACATAGGTTTGTCCAACTTGAATTCGAGTATATAACGTTAGCCCTATGGTCGTTGCATCCCAGAGCCTTAGAGACACATCTCGGCCACGTGTTTGTGCATTATTTTTACTCGCGCGTGAAGTAAACAACACAAACATACCACTGATGTGAAATCATAAACCAGGCTTCGATAAGGCTCATTAAGCCAATATGGCGGCGTGTCTTGGACATCGATAACGCTAATCATTATCCTAGCAGTGCTTGACAGAGTTTCTGGGTCTGATCCTTGGTCCTGTGAAACAGAATAACATCAACAAGATTTGGACCAATACAGAAACTGAAAATACCAAGCAAAATGGTCGAATTGGCTTTTTTATAGTTTGTTGGTGCATTTGTTTCTATGACGTCATCTTTATATTTCATTTTGATGAAATATTTGTAATACAAATATCATTATGTATTCATGTTAACGACTTACATATGTAATACTATTTGCTCATTATATTAGTATTCTCCCATAATTCATTGCTTGTATGCGCAGTAATTTGCGTTTTATAGGAATTGTACGTACTTTTGCTGTCACAGTGATTTCGTGACCAATGTCCAGCTCATAGTCCATACTGCTATTCAATACAATATCACAGTAGGCATGTCCGTTGCTGTTTACAATATTACCAATACTAAATAAGTATTCATCTTCCTGTCAATGTAGAGATATGCATTTGATATTTGATTTGATTTGATTTTATCTTATCTTAATCTAACCTAACTGTAATTTTTTTGTTCAAGTAAATTCACCGCCGATAATGCAAATAATTCTGTTTGTTTGGCAACATTACAATGTATTTTGATTTTGTGTCGATTTCCGTTCCCAGCCCATATGTTCAAAAGTTCTTTTTATATATATGTGAGAAACATGACAGTATAATAGTAGGTCATAAGGTTACTCTTCATTAGTCCCTCTTACATAACTGACCTCGAAGATATTAATTGATTAAGTAAATATGATTACTTACATATTCCAACGAGAAGACCATTTGTGAATTGGAACCAGAATCAGCGTCACTTGCATATACTCTGTATATTACGTCTCCTACAGTTGTGTTCTAGTAAAGAAGGGTAGTTCAGTGTAAATTAATTCGTGATTCGTTAATCGTGTGCTCTGATTGTCTGGTCGAATGAATACATCAATGGGTCTTTGCTCATTGCTTGAGTGGTTCATTTATTCATTCTTTCGTTCTCCCTTTCATTCAATAGTTCAATTGATTGGCTGATTGATTCATTCATTCACTCATTCGTCTGTTCATTCATTCATTAGTTTCTCCTTGATTGATTGATTGATTGATTGATTGATTGATTGATTGATTGATTGATTGATTGATTGATTGTTTGATTGATTGATTGTTTGATTCATTTATCGACTACCACAGCTCACCTCATACAGCTCCGTGTTGTACGGTACCCCTACAAAGATGGGTGCGTTGTCATTGACGTCGATCAAATATACTTTAATATCAGTTTCCACCTGTCGAACAACAAATGCGTTTGAAAACAAAGTTACAATCAAACATTAGGCCCATCCATAACTGTTGATGTTAGGCGAAAGTTTATATATTAGTATATGTTTTATTTATTAATGTATGCTAAGTAAAATAAAATGCCCTACTACGATAATTGCAATATGATACTTTGAAAACTTTATATTTTTCAAGCAAATCTCGGTCGTCGAATATATTAAATTAAATTCTTAAGATAATTAAATTTTGAGAATGAATTATGAAAATATTGAGATGTTTTCTGTAAGAAACATTTTATTTTATCAACTAAGTCGCTCATAGCATTACGACATGTTTCGTTATGTATTTTTCAACAATCAAGTTATTGTTTGACAATATTTTTATATATATTTGATGATTAATGTGATGATTTAATCTATTAAGCGATTAGTGTATTCCGAACGTTCCTAAGTAAAAGCTTGGATCTGCGTATGTTGTCTGAACGTCGACATTTTTACTATGTAGAAACGCTCTAATTGTACTAATGTACCATTCCAAACGCCCTGTTATATTCACAGCAACTGTTTTTTTTGTTTTATCCAAACTGCGTAACTGTTTTAGACAAAGTGCTAAACATTTACCATTTTGTTCGAGCTTGCAAAAATGTGTGTTAATTAATTTCAACTTGAAATTCACAATTTCAAAACCAATTCATACTCAGCTCTCAGTACTCAGTGGCGCGTGATACATACATACCTAGTGCTTATGGGCGCATTTATTTGTGTACTTTTTAAAAATAACTTAATAATTTTATAAGATATTTCTGTATTACATACAAATAAATATTTGTTCTATTAAAAGTGCATCTCTAATAGAATTCATTTATTATGGCTGTTTATTATACAATAAGTACCGCATATAAACTACGATAATGCATACTATAGTACGAACAAATAACATTGTTTGTGACGTTGAATGACAAGATCCGAGTGGATAGTACCTACGTCATTTCCGGATCCTCCATTTACGTCATAGTCACGTAAACGCCATGTTACTTCAATCTCAGTCACATCCTATAAATATGAAAAAAAAACACCAAAACATGAGTATGAATATCAATACATCTCCAGCACAACAGTAATGAGCGCAGGGTCACCCAGTCATATGTGTTGTTTATCGTTGTCATGACGATCGTCTTCTTAATGATCATGCGAAAACTATACTTTAACTTAAATACCGCAGTAACACGGTAACCAATTTATTTGACGCTACATTCCGTTAACATGTTATGACTGACGTATTAGTATTAACACTACATTTATACTACATGTTATGGTTACTCTGTTATTCAATTATTCACTTCCATCTCGAAATAGACATGATCTTTGATTGTTGACACTAGTGGAGCTAAAATTTATTATTTGTTTTATATAATAATCATTCAGTTGTCCAGGTGACGTTTACAAGTCCTACCTACTAAAACCTAATGTTTATTTTTATTTTATTTTATGTTATTCGTTACTCTTCCAACTAGCAAAAAGCCCAATTAGAGAAACATCTCTTACAACTGAATAATATATGACAAAACAAAATTACTTCAGTAATATCATAGCAAAAATACTAGTAAAATAAGTTGAACAATTTGTTTTTAAAATTTAAGAGGGTTTCCGGCGTTATTAACAACGCTATTAAAAAGCCAACACAAAAGGAGATTTAAAATAGACGTTCCTTCATAGAACCCAAAACATATACGACGAGTAGTACATGTTTTACAACTTTTGAATTTATAATATTAGGTCTAGATTATGTCTACGAGATTAAAGTGTAGGAATGCTAAAATGTTAGCATAAATCGATTTACATATTAGATTGGTAAGGTACTTGAACTTTCTAGAACTTTATAGCATAACTATTTGATAAATTTAATTTCTACCCTTTCAAGTTTGGCTATTAAGTATGTCTGCGATGGTGACATGTTTAATCTGATGTACACTCATTCGGTAATTTTCAAGACCACTGGCGGATCCAGAAATTTGGTAAGGGGGACATGCGTTTCTATTTACGTGGCCGAAGTAGACATCCGGTGGACTGGGTTTGTCAATTGATTTATCATTTTTTTGCGGGCTGAAGAGGGGGGCACCTCCCCTGAATCCGCGCGTGACTCGGTATCTCGTGAATTGAACACATACGAGCAAATGTTTAACACGCAGCTTACATGTGAACCACTGATTATAATTAAGCTGTCCGATGAAATTCCCATATTGCCATATATGTTAGCATATACATACTATACATTATATCAGCTATATATTAAGTGATTGGGCACCAAAATAAAGGTGCCCCGTACCCTGCATGAGTATGCCATAGAAACAATGGGGTGTCTAGAGCCATTTACCGATGTGATATCAGACATACCAATCCGCATCGTATACATCTCGTACCTCATAGTCAAGTTGTTCAACTAACATGACCTCTGCATGTGTACAATTTGTGTTGGGTAGACCGAAGTATTCTTCACCTTCCAAGATTTCAAAATATACACAACTGCCCTCTGGGTCATATGCTATTAATGTGTAAATAATCTCGCCTGAAATGTAACCAAATTAGTGTTGTATTCAGATATAAAGTTATGAACCTCGACAAAAACATATTACGTCACAATCACAATCAGTCACAATCTTTGATAGAAATTAACGCCGTCCAAGAATATATAACCGGTAGTTTTGAAAACCACCAAGTCCTTGATCAGATTTGTTCTAGCATAATAAGTTGTCTGTAAAACAAAAATGGCGGGGTTTCTAACTGCCAAAGAGGGCGCATTTAATTACGCACTCAAAATGTCTTCTAAAGTACAGCAGTGAGGCGATTGCCAAATAAACGAACCATGGATGGCATGCGCACATGTCATTCTTTACTTGTTCAGTTTCTTTTTGACATACAAAAGTAACAGTAACACGGGTCACTGGCATCAACACTTCTCATAATTATGGTTTCTAGAATCGTACTATCTTATAAATGAACAGTCAACTGATCCACCAACATGACATCACGAAGATGATGTTTAAAAAATTTTATAAATGAAATTTGTTTGAGTGCGGGACACGTTCTTATCGACTGTGTGTGTTATTAAATTTAAAGGGCGGACTGTGGCCCACCAATACTATTGTTATTGCACAAGCACTGACTTACCAAGAGGTATATCTTCCCTAAATCTCTCTAAATCCATATCATAATACTTGGTTGGCGAAGAGCCAGGTATCTCCACGAACGAAGGTGGTAGGTTCGCCAACACTGTCAGAAAAAAAACATAGGAGCAGAAACAATCAATTTAACTTAGAGCTGGTTGGGACGCAAATATCATAACACAGTAAAACAATCAGGACTGTTCATGTTCCGCGTGATGCGGGCTTAGAGAGTTAGCTCTGATTTTTGTTGAGAATGGTAATGTTCGGCTGAGTTGGACAGATTTGTTTTCAAGAGCTTCAGGCGTCATTACTGTCCGACTCCGAAACGCCCGTCTCAGTACTTTAGAAGGTTATCTTTTGCTAAAATCCGGGTAGAGGGCTAACACATGACTAGAGGGCTTTTCATTACCAAAGCCAGGTAGATGGAAGTTTTCTAGGTAAAGTTATACGAATACTAGAAAGTTATGATAATCTGCCACAAGAACAACTTACAACCTTGAAAGTAAAAATACAACTAAACATTTTGATATAATGTAGGGCTACTGTACTCTTGACTACACGCCCACATCGACTGAATTGGGCTGAACATGTCACACATACTTCATTGTTTCTGTCCACGTGGGTAAATCCAAAATACGTTCGTATACGACAATACTGCTTAAGATGTTAAGGTTTAAATGTTCTCCGTCGGTAAAAACATTTTCGGAATTAGTCAGTGTCTTAACGTATTATGTTATAATAATAACGTGCGTATTTCACCATAAAACGTAAAGTCTGATTTGACTATTGTTTACGAGTTATACTCACGTAGATTATTAACTCGGCAATAATCAGTGCGCCACAACGTGTGCGCGGTTTAAGGTCAGATTATTGCGTTGTCTGGGCAACATATGTCAAGCATTGAAATGTAACTGTAAAGGTGAATCCCCGCAATAGGATCAAACCATTGCGTAAACATTGCGCATAAACACTGTATTCATGTTGGAAAGATAAGTTCTCCTTTGAAAAAAATAACGTCCTACCCGATGTGTTCACCCGGTTGCCGGGCCACAAACCGGGGTCACATAGTCAGGGACACTCGTATCCCATACCTGATAAACGCGATCGGTATTGATATATCGTATAGATACGAATACAATAATGTTTTGCCATTCCAACGTGAAAACATCATAGCTATATACAATTCATAGTCCTGGCGGGAGACAAATACTTGTCAAGTATTTTATAGTATATATTTTATAGTAGGTCTTTTTTGTATATGACCAGTAACAAATATATGTTATTTTAATAGTTTGAAATTGTATATGTATGACTAACACATATCTACCTCACCGCCATATTTTCAGTTTAATTATTATTTACTATGATCGGTAACTTGGTCTAAGATGCTGTAATGGCGGAGATGCCTTTGTAGCGATCTATTTCATTATACTTGACATATGATTGCGAGAACGTTGGAGAGCACGGACACGTAATGATGTTGAAATAAGGTACTAGTTCTAATCAACCATCGCCTACGCGTGACCAGACTGTGAGTATGTACTATGGCAGTATCGCTAACGGGATAAACTATCTCCAAAACTTGAAACAATCATACATAGAAGTATCTCGAGAAAATATTGGATTTTTTGTTATTTTATAGTTGATCACAAACGAGACAGCATAATAACCGATCGGTGCACGTGACTACGGTGATAAAGCAAACTGCATGTTGCGTCACGAATGGCATTAAATACAGACAGTTATTGTTGCGTTACTCACCAACTTGCTGTTGCAGACCGATACATACAAAGAATGCCCAGTGTATGTAGCATTTCCAGACGTTGATGCACGTCATAGCGAATATAGTCGGTGTAACTTTTGTTCCCAATACAGGCCCGCTAGTTCGCTAAATTGTCATTACTATGGTGCCTTCATATGGTGAAGACATACAAAGATTCCGACCAGTCGTCGCCGGCAATTATCTGTCCAACTAGGTATTTCGTGAAATTATGTCAGAGTATTCTTAATCAAGCAGAGAGCACGTAGACACACCCAGTGTACACGGATAGGTACTGCGATGAGCATAATAAATCTTCACCTTGGTGACAAGTAAATGCACGCTAAATTAGACAATGGCATTGGTCAATATTTGCACTAGTTTGATATAAACGGAGACGGGCTAATTTACCGGGTCACTAGATTAGTACGTAGACTATATACAATAAATGAAATAACGAAATATACAATACATATGTAGCGGCACGTATACTAGTTGAAAAGTTGATTGAATGGTATTTTACGTGACATGGAAATTATGTTGTGTCATTACATACATTCATAATGATGACGATTACACAAATAACGAAATAGGAGATACAATCTGTAAATAAGGGTATGAGGCTCTTCTGAAAATCGATGTCATAGTCTCCGTCATATAATTGAACTCGACATTAAATCATAATTTTCTGCATGTGTAAATGTATTGATTACTGTACAAAAAGTACATTACTTACAATAATTAAAATAAATTTCCCATTGAAGTTTGATTTGACATTATATATGCACATCAATTGTATACTAAAATAAACACGCATCACACACACAGAGATAGAAAGCAACAATATTCATGTTTTATTAATGTTCATTTTATAGTGTACAATACTATCAAAAACAATCGTTGATGCAATAAACATGCCCACCATTGCAATACACAATCATTTGCATAGCGATGTTATAAGACCCCATTTGAAAAACAAGCCTCGATAGTCTCGCTGTGACGTCATTTGTTTACAGTTTTCACCAACCAGAATGCAAATGTCTGATAACAAATATCTACACTATCTCGCGATCTGCTGTGACAACGTTGCCCATATGGTGTGTTATTAACAGGAACATGTGTGTATATATTTTAACAACAGTAAACAACGCCAGTATTTGTGAGCCGCGGCGACTGGTACTTGTCAGCCAACTAGTTATAACACGTAAACGAGTGCGACGGTCCGAACAAACCCGGGGTTATGTTAAGGCGCTGATGTATACAAGCAGCGCTAGTATATATATATATGGTATATATGAATGTATTGTATAATTAGGCACAGTGCGGTTTTGTTTAACACCGCTGGTAAGTACAGAACAATGACAAAAAATTCCTTCTGTGGATGAACAAAAAAATACGACAAAAACCATATTCAGTCGTTCTAACTAGGAAATATATTAGGAAAACCAGTCTAAGCCTTGCAAAAACGAGAAATAAAATGTTGAATAACATGCTAAAATGACTTTATTAGAAAATTATTTAAGAAAAATATAATTTCCCGAAGGACACATTTTTATTAATTTATATTGAGAAAGTGAATTTGATAATTTATATTAACTTGGTCACATAAGGGTTACCCTAACAAAACCTGAAAATACACAAAGATAGCCTTTGCGGTCACGGTACATCATTGTTTACAATTGTTGACAAAGCGAAATGTTATTAGTCGGCAGGACAGTGTGGTTATAGAGACGTAGTTGATGTTATGTTTACAACGAACAAGTTATTGAAGTTATCAACTCTATAGGTTGCAAAACGAAATAATGAAATATTCTTACTATTTACCGGTGCACAAGAATTGCGAGAATGCCAAAAATACGATAAGTTCGAAGAAGAGTTTTCCGCCAAATAGCAATGTCGGTCTTATTCCTTTTAGCTTCGTAACTTGTCCTACGAGACGCAGTGTTATACGCATATTGAACAAGGTACGAGTCCGAGCATGATTATAGGGACTTGGTGAAACCAACACAACTTTATTGTCAGTTTTGATAAACTAAAATTGACATGAATCTGCAAATTATTTGTATTTGCAAATTATTTGTACCTAATTTGAATGAAAGCTCTCAAAATGTGTTGGAATTTGCCGATTTTCAGACGGTAGGTCAACATGGCCACCAGATAATGACATTTATCAAAATCTAAAACAAATTTAAGCGAACATGTAAAACCGGAATATTCGAAAACACGTATATTAGTACATACTGCTATACAAATTGAATCTCTTTTACTGAGACATATGTATCATTTAAAGACATGATGAACCATATACCATCCTAGTGGTTAAGATTGGAATCTTTGGACCCACACATCAATATTATCATATCATTTGATCCCATTTTAAATCAATTATCATCATAGTTTATAGCTGCTGCTAAACACAGACTATAACGTTATCTCCAATCGTAGTGCCACCATTAAAACCTTTGGTACTTTGGACACGTAACATCGTATCATAGCATAGCAATCGACGCATGTTATCATATCACGTGACAATTCCTAATCTATTGTATCATATTAATTAGTGATATCAACGTTGGAAACTTCAGACCCTTGGGTGGTGGGGTAGTAAATGCATTACGCATATCGCACTGATTTGACGGCATCACGTTACACGATGGTACAACATATATAGAATGATGTTCAATTATTCCTCTTTATAGTCTGACCAACTAGCTGATTAGTATCAGCATAAACGTCTCAGTCTATGTGAATACAATTGATTTATTTTCATTGACAGTTATCTGGTGAAAATAATGAAACACAATAGCACTAGGGGGCAAATAGCCGGCGTAATCGTGCAATACTTTGTTTTCGCGTCCACTATTCCTCTGACCTGCCATGCCATCCTGCGTAACAAGGTTCACGCGCCATCCTGTCACTGTTGCCTGGTAGAGAATGCTGACCTACGTAACAAAGTTATTTAAACAGTACTTTATAATGGGAGAGAATTGGACACTTATGTGAGGGGGGTCTAGACAATTCCTGCGGTTCTCTCGATCACTACGAGATCTTGGCCATTTACATTCTGGTTGTCCCGAAAGATGATTAGAAAAGAGTGGAATTTCATGTTGGGTCCTTGGAGTCAACTATTCATGCCAGTATCCTAGTTTCATTTGAATACACTCCGTTAGCAATTTTACGGCATTTTGTATTCAAAGGTGACTTAACAGGTGGTAATCAGCTGTCAATATTAACATACATTTGCATGGTAACAGTTTTTTCTTTTAGCAAAGATAACACAGTAACCCAAAGCTTATGCCAAAGGAATATTTATTGAAACAAAGAATATCACATGAAAGAGAATATGCATACATTTACAGATCAAAAATACTGATTACGAAATATGTGCGACTTGAAACACCAATGTTGGTGATGGTTTATATACAGTATTGCACTGTGGGTATGTATAGCACTTTTTGTCAATGTTTAAGAAGAATGGATGCACTTAAATTGAGTTTATTTATTTATAGACCGTTTTTCTAATTTCTAATATGTATTGTTTTGAAACTAACATTTGTTGATTATCTTCCCCAATAAGGTTAGTTTTGCTGGAGTTTGTTTTGTTGAGAAATAGAACACCTTTAAAAAAATTGCATGGGATGGGTTTCATTTGAGATGAGCAGGAATTAATTAAATTTTGAAAGATTTGGATCCAGTTGCCATGAACACAGCAATGTTTGTCTAATCTCTCGTTGCAACAACCTCTATATATTTGTACCGCAGTCTAATGCCGCCTAATAATTTTGAAAGTGTCAATCAAACCTTAAATGGAACCCTGCAGTGAACATTATTTCAAAAGAATCAAAGTGGTCATTCTGAAATTAAATTTCCTTACAGCCTTGGATGGTCAGTATTTAGTCACTAAAGAAACATCCATGCATGACATGAAATATGGATAGGAAGTCATTTACACTTTCATTTTCAATATTATATTAATTTAAACAGTTTTAATATTCAGATAAAAAATAAACATAGTTGAACTCTGGTGACTTTGCCCTTTGTTATATAATATAATTCCCTGTATCATAGTTTGATTCAATATAAATATGCATTGTCATAATTAATTTTGAATACAAACAAGTTTTGGGGTTGAACTAACAGTGGGAATCAGTCTACCGAATGCCCTAAAAG